AGATGTTTCAAAATTTGGTGGATTCATTGGTTTTCTGCCCAAAGATATCTTATTATTGCCCAATCCCACTCCTGCCCAAGAAGAAAAATTCTGTGTCTCATTGTCCATGCAATGTGTACTTATTACTTAATAGCAGCTTTAAGTTAGAAATTTGCTCCTCTGACCTAGGCCTTCAGCCAGGAATACTGATTTAGACCTTAATTAGAAGGTGTCTCTTCTTCTAGAGGGAACTGGACTGGTTTGGAACCAGAGGTACTCTGTTGCAGGTGTAAATTCGAAGTAGCTAAGAGTTTACTACAGAGACTGGGATTAGAAAACATTTAAGTTATATAAGAAATGTGCTCGAATTTTTTGTCTGCATTCTCCCTTAAATACAAATATGGCTTACATGATATTTGCATTCATGCGTAGACACACAGCAGAGTTCCTAATTCCCAGGGATTAATTTATACCGGCCTTGTATTTACAGAGTACACCACCTACCTTCATTATTTGTTAAGGTTTAAGAATTCCTAATAAAAATTTCTAATAAATTCTCTTATTTCAGTTAAGCAAAGATATAATCAGGAGTTTGTCTCTGTGGCTGGTCCTTTCTTAAGGACGGGTTTGTAGGAAGACCCTACAGCTGCCAAAAGACTCAGGTGCTCTGGGCAGGAGAGCTGGCCACCGCTGGGCTGGGTCCGGCTGACTGACCACCAGCCTAAACAGAATGTTAAGGCGCAGCAAGTTCGGTGGGGTGTCTGTGGAGGTTACCTGCAGGCAGAGAGGGCTTCTCACAGTGCAGGCTCTAGGCGCCCCACAGGAACTACCCAACCTACACCTCTAATTTTCAGTGTCGCTGAGCAGCAGCCCCACACCTTTTTAGCACCAGGGAGTCTCCTTGAGAGCTTTTCCTGGCACTTCCTCAGTCAGCTCCCCACCGTACTTGGCTTCAGTATGAGCCCAGACTTCGCTGCAGCCCCACACTTCTCCAGGTACTCAGCTTCTGCTCCAGGTCTCCCCACGTGGAACTGATAAGGGAATGTATTTATTCGCAGTTTTAGTGTTCTGTGGTCAAATAGTTTCTTTCTACCCAACTAACTTCGTGGCGCTCCGGTTTTCCATCTACAGCCTTTTCAGGCTCGTTCCTCTAACCGCCTTCCCCGCCCTTCCGGCTGAGCCTGCGCCCACTGAGCTTCCCCCTCAAACTTGAAGGGCGGTTTCTTCTCTCTCCTTTTCAGACTGTGGAGCTGGCCCCTGAACTGTACCCTGAGGCCCCTCCCTCACAGGGGCGATGCACACGTGGGCGACGTGAAGGGTCCTCTGCTCTCTTGCATGTGTTACACGCATGCACTGTGTGTAAACAGCTACATGTTGTATATTTTAAAGTGCTAAGGAAGATTGAAATGCGGGAGCCAGGTTAATGAAATGTGGCTCATCACTGAACCCTGCCAGAATCCCATCTGTGTGATGGCTGAGTGTGTTCCTGCAGCTCTAAATCAAAGAGGGTAAAATCAAACTTTGCCCAGAAGTGGCAGATTCAACTCAGGGTCCAGGGCTCCGCGAAGCAGCGGAAGTAGGGCTGGAGAAAGCCACGGGCCGGCACATCGCCAAAGCCTAATCATTAAGAGGAACAAGTGGTTTTCTCCTTCTGGTGCTCCTGAAGCAGACATAAAGTGGAAAGGCCGCCCGCAGCTGCTAACATTCCTTTCCGCCCTTCCTCGCGTCCCATCCCTGAAACAATTTTCTCTTATCTTTCCCACCTCTTCCAAAATAACAGGACCATGCACCCCACCCCACCCCCTGCCCTTTGCGGCTCAGCAACCACACACACTTTTGCTCCATCCTGGTCAACGCCCCCACCTAGCGGTGTCAGCTCGCCTGCTTTTGGTTCCCTCCCCTAGCGTTTCTAAGAGCGCTGCAGTTTGCAAAATAATGAAGTCGACCTAGGCGACTGTAGTGGGTGGATGGGGTGGGAGGACCCCCTTAAAGCATGGTGAAAATGAGGCTTAAGGTTGCTGAAGTGTTAGGCGATAGGAACGTGGAGAGAAAGAGAGAAGGTTGTGCTTTTATCTTCCCAGAGGCTGCTGCAACCCAGACTGCAGCTAGAGGACGTTTTGGAGAGCTGCCACTAGTTATGGGAGTGCACTCACTGCATGGGTGTGCTTTGCTCTCTCATGACACCTAAGGCTGTATAAAAGGACATCAGTTATTCACTCGTTCACATAGTTGTCTGTTTGCCTCTTCTAGGATATGAAATACTGGAAAACTGAGTCTGGGTCTAATCTCATTGCCCTCCATAACTCCTGATTGCCCACCCCCCCAATATCCAAGCATAGCATAAGCATTCTATTTCCCCCCTCCCTACTAGGTTTGGAAAATCTGGAATTAAGAGAACTTGAGTTTGGGTTGTGTCACTTTTTGTGGATCTCAATTACTCTTCCTTTACAAAGGGATGAATTGAATATTTGGCTCTGAGACTGAATAATTCTCCTTTTTTTAAATTTTTTGAGAGTTTTTTTTTTTTTTGGCTACAGGGCATGTGTGTTCCCATAAAGACAGACGCCACTATCCCTTCTCCTCCATTCTCCTCTCGGGATCTTGGGCAGGCACGCACACGCACCTGGCGTGAGTTTAAGCCACCGGGTCCAGGACTTGAACCGCGGTCGACTACATGGGAGTTCCGCGACATAGCCATTACGCTCATTGCTGGTCCCACTGAATAATTCTCTTTGAAATATATTTGTGCTTAAACTGATGAATGCAATAACTTCATTTTAAAAGGTGCATTCTATGTGCCAAAAACACTGATCTAGACTCTAGGAATTTGTAGTGGGGATTAGTCCTCAGGGCTGAAAATACATGGTCCTCTCCTGGCACTTGGAAAAAAAAACTTTCTGGTTTGTACTTCTGCCATCCATGTTTCTTCTAAGGTTGGAGGAGAAACCGAGGACAGGCATTTCTTTGGATTCATGGGATTCAGATACTGATATCTTTCGATGCCACTAGGGCTGGCATCCACATCCATTTGTTGAGGGAAAAAAAGATGCTGCAGGTGGCCCCCTCCCCCTTTTCCCATGAATTCTGATGACCGTTTTCCTAGGAGGGCTTTGGAAAGAAACATGCTCCTTGGGAACTCTTTTCTAGGGGCACTGAATTGCTGAGGGGCTGTTGATTTAATTTCACATAGAGTTTGATTCTGTTTGTGATATTACATTTTTGCAGACAGCCCCCCTTCCCCAACATCCGTTTGACTCACAGTTAAATGGGAGGGGTTGGGAGGGATTGAATGAAAAGCACAGATTTCTAAAACTAGATCTTAAACAATTAGTTTTTGTTGTACCAACAGTTAAGGGTGACTTGAAGTCCAAAGACCGAAGTATAAAATTCATATATGGGTCTATTCCTTCTCTGGGGAAATTACTGGCACCTCCTTCTTTATAACTGGGTGTGGCCAGATTCCAGAGTAGAGAGGTCAGAGACCGGGGCTTACTCTACCTAGCACCGGTCTTCCAGCGTGGGGAGGTAGGAAGTAGGCAGAAGCCAAGGATAGGACCTTGGCTAAGGGCGTGGGTCTGCCTAGCAAAGCCCGCAGCAAGCTCTAAAGCCCACAGAGGCAAGAAGAGAAAGCCCTCCTATCCATTCCTGGCCAGAACTGTGGCTCAGGTGTCAGGATCTCTCAGGGGCTAGGACATGGGGAGTAGAGACAGGTACAGGACCTGGGATAGGCGGAGTGGGCGGTAGGACCCGGCGGGAGCATCCTTGCCCAGCTAGGGAACCTGGAGGGAGGACAAGAGGGAGGGAGAGAGAAAAAAGGAAGGTGCTGGGGCGCGGGCGTCCGCACCCGCCACTCCGCACGAGTTGCACTGCTCCGGCGGACAAGAGCCAGACTCTATAAAAGGAACCGGTCTGCTTCCCAGCTCACACGCTCCTCCCGGGGAGCGCACGCCGCGTGCCTTCAGCTTCCCCCAACACCTTCCCCTTTCCCGTGTGTCGCGCCAGGTCCCTCAGACCGGCGCGCCCAGCGGCATGGCACCAAGCGGCGCGGGTGGAACCAAGGTGGTGGTGGTGGCAGTGCCAGTGGCGGTGGCGCGGCGCAAACAGCCGCAGCTCCAGCCCC